ACAAACTTGAATTCATTGTCAAAAATATTTTTTTGTCAGCTTGGTCATTTCTTCTTTTTGTTGTTTGGACTGTATGCTTCCAATTGTGAGTGGTCTGCTGTTTGGAATTTTGCCTATTATAGGCATTTGCTTCTGTGCTGCTGTAGCTGGTGATTGAGCTTTTCCTGCATAGCTTGCCTTGAACTGAGCTAGCGCTTCTTTTGCTTCCATTGGGAAAATATCCCTTGATTAGGACCTGTAAATATTACATAATGGGTTTTTGTTCTTTCTTCCTCATGAAAACGAGGTTTTTCTTTTTCTTCCGATGTTTCAGCCTTTTCATTTTTCTTTTCTTCTTTGCCTTTTTCTGCAAATAGTATGGCTTTTATTGGCTGATTTCTTTTTCTTTTTTCTTTATCTGCTCAGAGAGCTCTTCTACCTGTTTTTCCAACTTTCTTAGACTATCTTCTAAGACTGGTTTGAGTGCTTCCATTCTCGTGTTAATGTATCTTCTAAGTAGTTTTCTTTTCCTGAAATACAGATATATAATCAAACTGTTGTGCTTTTAAACTCCATCTTAAAAGTTTGCCTTTGTTATAAGATTCTTTTATTCGATATTTTGTAAAATCTTTTGTATATAGACTATTTGTTTGAAAAATGAATTTCACTGGTTGTAAATCAAGTTTGAATTTTTCCAAAGCATTTATAAAAGCCAATGTTTCTTTTTCATGTGTTGTATAGTTGCGTTCTGCTTGCTTAAACGTTCCTGATACCCATTTGGATAACAATAATTGTTTGTTATTGGTTTTGTCCAATACTAATTGCATAGAATCATTAGATTCACTTTTTTCATCCAAACTATCTTTAGTTATCCTTCGTATAAAGGATTTAACTTCAGATGGTTTGTTGTTCATGATAAACTTATTAAACTCTTCATATGCTTCTGGAATTGCTTGAAGGACTGCTCCCCAAGTATCCTGACTTGCATCAGTGTTTAAAATAAGTAAATCACTAGGCTTTGGTAGATAAAGCCGTGGTAAATGAGTACATAGTCTTTTTAAAGACTGTACTGCTCTAGTTGCATTGTCTGTCCATTTCCATGGTATTTTTTCTGAAATTATTTTTTGTAGTATCTCTCTTTCTCTTGCAAGACTTTTTATAAAACCTTTTTCTCCAATATATGTTAAACATCCAAGAAATTTTTGAATTTGATTTCTATTTTGAAGTTGATCTGGAAACTGATGTATTTTTTCAAGTAGATGTTTTTGAGGTTCGATATAGCCTCCTTCGACTATTTTCATTCCCAAAAATTCTGTTTCTGTTTTGCAAATTTTTGCTTTTTCTTTACTTAGAATAACTCCTTTATTTCCTAATTGTATTAAAACCTTTGCAAGTTCTTTTAAATGATTTTCTTTTGATTCTTGTGTAAAAACAATTATATCATCTATATAAGCAAGACTTACTGATTCTAATCCCTTTAGATTACTATCCATAAATCGTTGATATATACTGTGTGCTTGTTTAAGTCCAAATGGCATTACATTGTATTCATAGTGGTTTTGAGATGGACAACTAAATGATGTTAAAGGTTTAGTTTCTTCATGTAATCTTAACTGCCAATATCCTGATTTAGCATCTAAGGTACTATACCATTTTGCCTTTTTAATTCGACTAAAAATATAATCTTGTCTTGGTAACTTGTATGCATCTCCTTTGGTAGCTTTATTCATTTCTTTGTAATTTATAACCATTCTACGTTTTCCTCTTCTTAACTCATTATGATTTTCTACATAAAATGCTGGTGCACTATTTGGACTTGTACTGGGTTGTATAATACCATTTTCTAGCATCTTAGCAGTTTCTTCTTGAAATTCCCTAACATCTCTTTCTGTATATGGTATTCTATTTGGCACATTGACTTCTTTACTAGAATCTATTAATTCTATTTTTATTATCATGTTATTCGTATTTTTATTTGGATCTAATGGATTTTGACTACATATGTTTTCTAATAACTGAATAACATGTTCTTCTAATGTTGTACTTATTACTTTATAAATTTGAAATGAAACTTTTCTTAATATCTCCTCCCGTATGAAAGAAGATGTGTTATATATTTTTGTAGTAATTATTTTACTATATTGTGTATCTAATTGTGGACATCTAAGACTTATACTATTTAGTCTTTGAATAGATGGGCTGTATAACTTAAGAAAGTTATTTCCTATTATAATTGGTTAACCTGTATTTTGCTTATAAAGACTTGGTAAAGGAAATCTTTTTCCTTCTGTTAACAACACTAAATCTGTTGCTCTATAATCAATATTTATTGTCTTATTATTTGCAATTCTTACTATAATTAGTTTTTCTAATTTCTTCCAATATTTACTAGGTAATATAGATTCTTTGGCTAGACATATTGTTGCACCTGTGCCTATATATGCTAACAGAAATTGTTAAATAATTTAACTTTTATAAATGAACTATTTTTACTCATCTTCTAATTCAGATGATTCCAAATCACTATCTGTTTCTGATTCTAAATCATATATATCGAAGTCTAATAGTTCACCTTCTTCGTATTCTTCTTCTATAGGTTCATAACCTAAAGAAAATATCATTTTTAACTTCCTTTCTTTTTCTGGTATGTTTTTAGGACATTCGTTTGCATAATGTCCTATTTCTTGACATTTCCAACATCTGCAATTCTTTTTTCCTTTAGGACAATATTTGGGTTTTCCTAAATATTTTTCTTGTTTTCTAAACTTTTCTTTGTATTTTGGTTTCCATGGTTTTCTAAATGTTTTATATCTTCTTGGCCTATATCGTCTGTTAAACTTAGTGCATTTGAGACTACCTCTTTAATTAAAGATTGGATTGGTCCTTTGTCCGTACCCAGAAAAGGATATAACATTCCGACTTCTCCTTCGCTATAGTCTCCGGACTTTCTCAGTAGGATTTGAACCTATCTCAATAAAGTCTATGATTGGTTCGAAGAACGTCTCGAGATTCAGGCGATTGCGGATGATATAACGGGGTAATATGTTCCGCCCCATGTCAATATATTGTATTGTTTAATGGGCTTACTTGCTTGTTTTTAGTACCTAAAAGCCACTCCTCTTGATCTTTATACTACTCCCATTGCTTATGAACTTCTTTGCCTTGGTATTACTTCGCAGATTCACTGATAGCATGAAGAAAGGCATAGTATTCTACTACTATGTGATCGCTAACCTCGGTACAAGATGAAAGAACGGATATCTTTTCTTTCTATATGGTTCATGACAACCAAATTCTTGTGGCACACTTTCTAATTGTTTACAACATCTTGAATCGACTTTAGTCATTTCATGATGTTCTATTTTTCTTATACAAAGTTCATCTCTATATTCTTTTGCATATTTTTCTAAAATTCCTAAAGTTTTTTCTTCTCTTGTTTCATTAATCTTCTTCTGAATATATTTATTCATTTCATATTTAAGTTTACTTTCAACAATTTCTATTAATCCTGATCGATCCTTAATTTTATAAAAATTTTCTCTTACTTGACAAAAGAAATTTTCGATATAACATATATTACATAATTTCATGTTAGTTAGAAATCTAACTAACTTATCTTTTTTGGTTTCTTTTGACTCTTGTCCTGTAATTCCTAAAAATTCTCTTAATAGATTTTTTGCTACTTCTCATAAAGCTGTTATTTTATATTCTGCTCCTGTTTCTGAACCACTGGCTTCGAGATTAAGTAGGATTTGAGTATTTTCTAGATAGTCAAATAATATTCCTCATGTTTTATACCTTATATAATTGGAAAAATCTATTAATGTCATTCCATTTATCATTGGATCATTAGTTTGGACTAGTAATTTTAATTGATTAGTCCAAGTGACTATTAAATCTTCTGCATTAGTTGCACAATCTATATTTAGTATTCCATTAGATAGATTTCGTTCTTTTTCTAAATATGCTGGTGGTATATTTTTCTTAATTTTTTCTTGATGATAACTATAATCATTTCTGTATATAAAATCTCTAAAACTGTTTTCTACGTAATTATTTTGTGAACTAGATGCTTCATTATTGTTTGTTCTAGGTCGCTTTGGTGATAATGGTGGTATTGTATGAGGTTTTTGATCAGTCATATTAAATGTTGGTTCGTCTTCATCTTCACTATCTATTCCGTAGATTATTCCTTGTTTATCCTCATCATCTATTTTTGTCATTCTAGTTTCTTCAATATTGCATTGTTCTAACAATTGGGTTAATCTATCTATATCATCCATTAGAACTTGTTGGTGGTTCTATGTGAATTGATTTAAATAACTTTTTCTGCGTTTTTTCTTTTATTACTAAATCTTGTAGTTCTTTTACTGATTCTTTTATTTCCTCTAATTTTTCTAATGTTTCTAATTGAATTTTCTTTATTATTTCAAGAAGTGTTCCTATTTGTTCTGAAACTCTCGGCGGTTCACTCATAATTTTTTTTTTTTAAGATATTATTATTATTTTTTACCTTTTGTTAATTTTAATGGTAGTTTTAACAAAGTTTTTATTTTAATCTTTCCTATAGCAAAGTTGTGTGTGAAAGTAGCAATAAAATTGCCATATGTCCATTCTTCATTGGTCCTTGGAAAAAATGGGCGCCACCCTCATGGGTGGCATGAACTAATCCCAGTCTTACACAAGCACACTACTCACTGAAAAGGACACATATCAAGTAACATTGTTCTTGAAAAAA